AATTTTAAAGAGAGAACAACTTATATATATATGCCAAAAATAAGGGTAACTACTATGAAGGGATAGAATATGACTTTAAAAATGAAAAATAAAAATGTTTTTTAATAAAGGGATTGATAAGATGTTGGTTGAAAAAGGGAAAAAGAAAAATTAAAAAAAAAAGTTTAAAAAAATTAACTTTGAAAGACTAATGAATCATGGTAAAAAAGCCATGAATTCTATGTGCAGTATTCCCCTAGCGCTGGAGTTTTCCCGTTCTCCTTGATCGGTAAACTTGGTCCTGGCTTGCTGGCTGTTCGTGCCGATCTTCTGGGGGAGGGGCCCGTTGCCGTGGTTCCCCAATGTCTTTGCCGGAGGCGGAACTGCCCCGCCCTTGTCGGTCCGGGCTAAGCAGTCTGCTCGGGTTTGCTCTCAGGAGCTTTTGTTCCCTGCAAGCTCTCGGTACAGCTTTGGAGGACCAGGGTGAAAATGGTGGCCTCCCAATCTCCGCCCGGAGGAGCCGAGAACTCGGGGCCCCGCTCCTCAGTGCGCCCCCAGAGAAAAGCACTCATTCCCGTGTCCCCAGTCTCCGGCCACACTCCGCGCTCACCCGGCCTGTGACCGAGCGTTTCTATCTCTGGCATCCGACCCCGTGTGGAGTCTCCAAACCCAGCAGATCCCTGTGGTGCGCTCCCGCGCCGCTCCTCCCGGGGGAGGACGGGGAGTCTCCCCGGCTCTGCTGCTTGTTGGGTCCCTGCTGGAGGAGCAGTGGCCCGACTGGGCCGCGGATCACAGTTTATGGCCACCCCGAGCTGAGAGCCCGCGCCTCGGCTCCGTCTCTGCAGCCGGCTTCCCCGCTCCGATACCTGGGAGCTCTGCCGCACTCAGGCACCCCCGGTCTTTCTGTGACCCCGAGGGTCCTGAGACCACACTGTCCCACGAGGGCTCCACCCCCCGTTTAGCCACTGGAGCGACGTCCCTCAGCGGAGCCGGCTTCTAAAAGGTCCGATTTTGTGCTCCGCGGCTCTAGCACTTGCCAGAAGCGGCCGACGGAGGCCCCTCCCCCGCCGTGTATCCTCCCGAATATCGCCTCGGATTCACTTCTCCGCACGTCCTACCTTCCAGAAAGTGGTCGCTTTTCTGTTCAGAGAGTTGTTGCTATTCTTTTCTTCGATCTCCTGTTGAGTTCGTAGGTGTTCAGAATGGTTTGATCCCTATTCAGCTGAATTCCTGAGACCAGACGAAATCCAGGTCTCCTACTCCTCCACCATCTTGCTCCGCCCTCAGGAAAATATCTGTGTCTGGCTTCTTTCACTCACTGTAAAGTTTTCAAAGTTCCACCCACGTTGTAGCAGGTATCCCGGGATTCAAGAGTTGAGAGACAACCTAGACACCCCCTACTGAGTCTTCTCAATTTGCAGACGGGGAACTGAGGCTTGACATAGCCTGTATAGTTAGTGGTACCCAAGTCCCCCACTGCCTCACCCTGTTATTTCCACCACACAACCACCAAGGCAATCAGTATAATAAAGAAGAGCTTTCACAAATAAATAAAAACATTACATTAGTTCAATATGCCATACATTAGAAATAATAAAACAGGGATGCCTGGGTGGCTCAGTCATTAAGTGTCTGCCTTTGGCTAAGGTCATGGTCCCAGGGTCCTGGGGTCGAGCCCCACATCGGGCTCCCTGCTCCACAGGAAGCCTGCTTCTCCCTCTCCCACTCCCCCTGCTTGTGTTCCTTCTCTCACTTTGTCTCTCTCTGTCAAATAAATTAAAAAAATATTAAAAAAAAGAAATAACAAAACATATGGTAATAAAAGCTGGTATTTTACTAACTATTGTCACATCTTGCGAGGAGTCCCATAGATCATTTATTTCACGTGATATGGGAACGGTACCAGATGCGCAGGCAGGAAAACTGAGCGTAAGTTTGAAGTCAGTGTTCGCTCTCTCTGTACAAAGGTAACTATTTAAAAAGCCAAGTCTGAATTACCCTTAGTGAAAGTTCCAAATTTTCTGTTCCCCAGAGTTCCATGTCCCTGTCGTACTGTCCAATCTCATTAAAATAATGCCTATTTATAGCAAAAATTCCTCCAGCCATTGCAGGTGACCTAAAAAGGACACATAAATATTAAATTACAGATTCGGTCATTCTGGATTTTTTTCCAAAATTATATTGAATATTAGCAATAACATAAAAACTAGAAACTAGCAATACTGATACCAAAATTGTTTACATTTAGGTATGTAAAATTAGCAAATCGAAACCATAACTACCTAACAGTACACAGTAACTTTTCTAAGATTTATTTATTTATTTTAGAGAGAGAGAGAGCACGCAGGGGTGGGGAGGGGCAGAAGGAGGGCGAGAGAGAAACTCAAGCAGACTCCTCACGGAATGAAGAGCCCACATTTAACCAACTATGCCACCCAGGCGCCCCCCTCAGTAACTTTCACTTAGCTCTCACCGAATTGTATAATGGTATCTTCTAAATGTTGTCTTTTCCTTGAAAGGGAACGTTAGAATGTGAGTTACCCCTGGGGACGAATATTGACTTGGGTATTAGAGTTTACAAATCTCCCTTTCTAAGCACATTAAGTGAATTATAATATTTACTTTTGGGAAAAACAGAATGTTACAAAGCATCTTTTTTTTTTTTTTTTGTCCACCAATAGCAGGGCCCGATCACACTGAAGTAAGTAGTTCGAAAATGATCACGTGTTCATCTACTCATTCATTTTTTTAAAAGTATGTATTAAACACCTATGATGTGTTAGACATAAATTAGTGAGTCAACAGGCCAAGGTCCCGGCTCTTGTCGGGGCAAAAGGGTGGAAACAGGGATACCGGTCGCAGCAGTGGTCCCGGAGGAAGGGGATAGGATGGTGGATAAGAGTCCAGCAGTGAAGGCAATGAGATGCAGGCCATCTCCTGGTGCAGTTTGAGGATGGAACCAGCAGATTTGCTTATGAGTGGGATGTGGTTATAGGAGGACGAGAAGGGTGAAGGCTGACCCCAGCATTTTGGCCTGGGTCCCTGGAAGGTGGAGTTGCCATGCACTCAGATGGGGATGCTGCGGGGTAATCAACTGTTTGTTATCAGTAAGGCTTTCAGTCAACAGTAGGTGCTTAGTAGTTAAGTTTTTGGGGAGTCAAAAGCTACATTCAGAGTTTTGACTGCACAGGGTGGTCAGTGTGCCTAACCCCCATGTTGTTCAAGGTGAACTGTAGGTTATAACACATATCACATGTATAATATATACTCTATAAATAATTGGTATCATGCTAAGTTTTTTAATGGCTTGATTTTTTAATTAGCATATTGTGAGAATTTTCCTTTTATAGTAATCAGCTTTCAAAAAACTTTATATAATATTCTACAAAATATGAATAGTGTTTTTAACCATTTCACTATTGAACATAAATATTCATTTGTGTTGTTTTTATTTTTTAACCAATATAAATGTCACTGTAATAGATGTCTTTGTACTTACTTCTCATTAACTCCTTAGGGAAGTATTTCAAGAAGTGGAATTACTGCATTAGAGAATAACACTTATAAGATTGTCAAATTGTTTTCAAAAGCATGTGTGACTACATCTATACTAATGGTGTCTTGGAATTCCAAAAATGTTACTACTCAGCAAGTATCAGGAATAGTTTCCCAATTGAAATTTGTAGAGCCTAAAGCATGTCTGATATGTGACATATGGAAATATTATAAAATTATGTCAATTTTTTTGTAAATGGAATACTGCAACTACTTCTCACTAAAAGTGACTTTATTTTAAGTTAAATAAGTTCATTTTGAGATGAACTCCAAAGACTGATGCTTTATTTTTTTATTTTTGAGTAAATCAAGATTTTTACATATTAAATTTTACTTAAATGAAGTGTATCTTTATTCTTTTTCATTCTGAAGTCTACAACAGTAACAAGAGCAACCATTTATATTGATCACTTCACCTGTGTCAGGCCTTAGGCTATGTTCTTTACAAGCACTGGCTTATTTAATCTCCTCGATAATCCAGACAGGTATGTATTTTATTATCATCGTCATTTTATAGATGAAGACAGTGAAGCTGAGAGAGGTAACCGGCCCAGCAGAGGGCTGCCTTATTGCACAACTCCAGGGATGCCAATCACCTATAATCTGTATGAACAATGCCTTGTGGAGATGTGCAGTACACAACCTATACAGCTGTACACAGCAGTCCTAAACAGCTAACAAATGATGGCTGGAGCAAAGCAAAGATCAGAGTTACACACAGTGGAAGGTGCATCAAGGGATCTATTATCCTAAAAGCAAAGGAAAGACATTTGGTGACATGTGCAAAGTAGGGTTTTAAGAAAATTACTATAACAGCAGAAAGATTGGCATGAGGGAGAGGAGCCTGCAGGCCAGACTGTCCCTTACAGCACAGAGTCTAAGCCTGGGAAAGTGTGGGCCTGGACCATGGGGACAGGCAGAGAGATGGACAGATGTCATGTGAGAGTCATCACAAAGGCTGAGTCCCCTGGAGCTGGTTAATCACTGGGTTAGAGTAGGCAGCGGAAGACTGCAGATGTAGTCACGCTTCATGGCTACATAGTATCCCATTATGGTTCCAGCATAAGGTACTGAATAATTTCCCAGTTATTCTTCCCGATTCTTAGATAGTCTTTATTTCTTCTCCCTCTGTCGCTCCCCCTGCTTGTGCTCTCTCGCTCTCTCTCTCAAATAAATAAAATCTTAAAAAAAAGAGAGAGAAAAGAAAGAAACCATGAGGGGTAAAAACAGAAATCAAAGAACTGGAGATCCCAATGATGTCCAGGGGTAGGTGTCGGTGGAGCATAGCAGGAAAAAATTAGGAACGTCTTAGGTTGTGGCCAAAGAAACAGATATCTGGTAATTTAGAAGATGAAAGGCCCAGGATATGGCTATAGGAATAATAATAGCTAACAGTGATAGACACTGATGTAGTACTTATCATGGACAGATATTGTTCTAAGCTTTGATATACTAAGTCATTTTCCTAACAACCCCGTGAAGTATCATTAACCTCCAGACTTCACATACAAGGAAATAAGGTGCAGAGAGGTTAAGTAACTTGCAAAAGGTCACAGAGCTCTAGTTAAATTAAAATAGAGACGTTATAAAAAAAAAAAAATAGAGACGGAGATCAAGGACTTGCTAGGCTGCAGTGTTAGAAGATTTGCTCCTGTGATTTGCAAAACAAAGAGCTTAGTAGTAGAGAAGAGGAGGAGCCAGGCATCGGTTATCAGTAAATGTGGGGAGTGACCTGGAGGAAGTCTCTTCAGAAATTAGCCTCACAGATGCAGTTAAAAGTCACAACATCAAATTGTTCTCCTTTAGAAATATATTTTCCAAGACTCATAATCTAGGAAAATCGTATTCATCCCTATAAAGTTATAGATGAAAGCAGTTAGATAAATGTTTTATATATGAACTTAGCAAAGACATCTACTTTTTCTGGGCTATCCACAGTGCTAGCATTTCGTTCATTGACCACATGCAATTAGCTCCTGAGAACCAAGCCCACATTCTAAAGACAGACACCCGAAACCAGAGGGACACTATCCATGGCAGTGCTCTTAACTGGGGTGAGATGCTCATTTCCAATCAAAGAAACTAAAAACCTACCAAATTCTATAATCATAGACTTTTAGAAACAAGATAAATAATAAAATATTCCTCTTCATTAAGCCCAAGAAATTGAAAGAATCATCTCTTAACATCTTTTTCTCCCCAGGTCCCAATACATATTCCCATAACCTGAAGAAATCTCCTACCGGATGGGTCTAGTGGGTCCTTCTGGTCCATCCATCTCATAAGAGAAAACATTATCCCATTTAAATTCTAGATGCCAGTTGAAAGCACCCCTTATGACCGGAGAGGGCCGGTATTCTAGGGTCTCATAGTCAATGGGATCTATCAGAGGACACACCACCATTCTGGGGTCCTTGGCAATGGCATGCAGCAAGGGCTGCAGCCACACGTGATTCACCTCACAGTGGCTATCCAGGAACACCAGAACATCCCCTGGGGAGGCAAGAATAGGCTAGTGTTAGCGCACATGGATAAGACAGCTGACAACCCAAATCAAAGTTCAGTGCAAGGAGTATTTGTTAAGCATTTACTATGTGTTTGGCTTTTACAGTGCTTCCAGATTCACCAGGGGTGGGTGGGGACTAGAAACATATACTTTATTTTGTACTACATCATGTATCATGATGTGCCATAGATGTTCAGAAGAAGCTGGTGAACTGTGGGTTAGAGAGTGGTCTGGGTACGATTCTAAAGAAGCAGGTGGAACGGAATTGGGCTTTAATTAAAAAAATATTATTTTAGCTTGGCCTTGATTGATTGACTCAATTTAGCTAATGTTTAATGCAAGGATAACTTGTTTATTTTTTGGTGCTTGGGATACAAAAATGCATAATTATTTTTGCTCTTGAGTTCAAGCTTTAATGAGCATCTGCTTAGAGAACATGGGGAAAATTGGCACGGCCAAAATGAAGAATACATGTTGTTAAAGTACCTTAATGGGCTCAGATTGGAAGGGACCCCAAAATTTAGGCACAGAGTTTGGATAAAATCGTAGGAAGGTATGAGAAACATTCCATGGTTGATCAGAAGACTTAATATTGTTGAAGTGGTAATACTCTCCAAATTGATCTCTAGATTCAGTATAATTCTTATCAAAATCATACCCGGTTCTTTTGCGGAAACTGACCCCAAAATTCATATGGAAAGGCAAGGAACCCACATTAGCTAAAAAGATCTTGAAAAAGAAAAAAATTGAAGGACTTCTGCCTTTCAAAACTTACTACAAAGCTATAATAATAAAACAGTATGATACTGGCATAGGGATAACAAAGAGACCAAAGGGATAGAATTGAGAGTATAGAAATAAACCAGACATCTGTGGTTAGTTGATTTTTGACAAGGGTGCCCAGCCAATTCAATGGGGGAAAGAATAGTCTCTTCAGTGAATGGTCCCAACACAGCTGGGTATCCACATGAAAAAGAGGGGCACCTGGGTGGCTCAGTCAGTTAAGCGTCTGACTCTTGATTTCAGCTCAGGTCCTTATCTCAGCGTCATGAGTTCAAGCCCTGTGCTGGGCTCCACACTGGGCGTGGAGCCTACTTAAGAAAAAAAAAAAAAAAGAAGAAGAAAAAGAATGAAGTTGGATTCCCTCATGGCAAACACAAAAACTAAGTCAAATGACTCACAGACCTAAAAAGGTCAGAGCTAAAACTATAAAACTCTTAGAAGAAAACAGAGGCATCCATTTCTGACCTCAGGTTAGATGATTTCTTAGCTATGACACCAAAAATACAAGTGACAATAGAAAAAATATATAGGACTTCATCAAAATTAAAAAGTTTTGTTCTTAAACAGACACCATAAAGTTGAAAAAAAAATCCACGAAATGGGAGAAATTATTTGAAAATCACACATCTGATAAAGGACTTGTATCCAGAATATATAAGGAACTCTTACAACTCAATAACAAAAAAAAAGACAACTTAATTTAAAAAATGGGCAAAGGAGGGACACCTGGGTGGCTCAGTCATTTAAGCATCCTACTCTTTTTTTTTTTGAAGATTTTATTTATTTATTTGACAGAGAGAGACACGGCGAGAGAGGGAACACAAGCAGGGGGAGGGGGAGAGGGTTCAGAAGCAGGCTTCCCGCGGAGCGGGGAGCCCGATGCGGCGCTTGATCCCAGGACCTGGAATCATGACCCGAGCCGAAGGCAGACGCTTAACAACTGAGCCACCCAGGTGCCCCTAAGCATCCTCCTCTTGATCTCGGCTCAAGTCTTGATCTCAGGGTTGTGAGTTCAAGCCCCATGTTGGGCTCCATGCTAGGTGTGGAGCCTACTTAAAAAAAAAAAAAATGGACAAAGAACTTGAACAGACATTTCTCCAAAGATATACAAATGGCTGATAAGCATATGAAAAGTGCTCAACATCTTTAATTGTTAGAAAAATGCTAACCAAAATCACAGTGAGATAATACTTCATATCCACCAGGATGGCTGTAATCAGAAAGGCAGACAATCACAAGTGTTGATGAGATTGTGGAGGAATTTGAACCCTTGTCCATTGCTGATAGCCAACATAAAACGTTGTGGTCTCTTCTGAAAATTATGTGGCAGTTGCTCAAAAGTTACGCATACAGTTGTCATATAGACTAACAATTCCACACCAGGGTACACAAATACCCAAGAGAAAGAAAACTTAGGTTTATACAAAGTCTTGTACATGAGTGCTCATAGCAACATTCTTCCTTAGAGTAAATTATTGAGTCATAACTCAAATGCCCATCAATGGATGAATGGATAAACAAAATGGGATATATCCACATAAGGGGAATATTATTTAGCAATAAAAAGGAATGAAATACTGACCCATGCTACAACATGGACGAACCTTGAAAACTTCATGGGAAATGAAAGGAACCAGTTACAAGAGACCATGTATTATATAATCCATTAAATGAAATGCCTAGAATAGGTAAAAATCTGTATGTGTAGAAGGTAGATTAGTGGTTGCGGAGGGAATGGGATGAGAGGTGATGGCAAGTGACTGCTAATGTGTGCAGTTTCTTTGGAGTAGGAAAAAATTTTTCTAAAACTGTTAGGGTGATGGTTGCATAACCCCAGGAATATACTAAAAAACACTGTATTGCGTAATGGGTGAATTGCATGTGAACTGTATCTCAAAAAAAACCCCACTAACATCCTTAGGAAAGAAAGAGTACATTAAAAGTGCAATTATTCTTATGTGCAATTCACATGGTATTTTAAATCATTAAAAGTGATAGAAACTTGACCCCTCAGCTCAGCTCACTGGTTTCTTACCTACCCATCCAAAATGGCGTCTACATGTTCATGTTTATTCTACCGAGTTCTCGAGTAAGCAGGGCTCTTCGGAAGAGCCACTTTATTTTGTTCCTTTCAATCCCCAGGGAGGACTGGTCCTTTCCCTGCCCTTGGTTACAAACCAGAGCAGGTCCAAGACTTCCCAGGTTACTCTTTGGTTTAACTGAAAGTCTCACAGTTACTTGAAGTTGGAAACACTCTCTCAGTTCAGCACTTAGGATTTCCAGTCCCATGTGAGAACCCAAACTTCCGTGACTGCCTGACTGTCCCTTCCCCCCCAACTAGGGGGATACGTGAAGAGGTGCTCAACATCACTCATCATCAGAGAAACGCAAATCAAAACCACAGTAAGATATTACTTCACACCTGTTAGATCATCTATTATTAAAAGGACAAGAAATAAGAAGTGTTGGCAAGGATATGGAGAAAAGAGAATCCTTGTGCCCTGTTGGTGGGGATGTAAATTGGTGCAACCGCTACAGAAAACAGTATGGAGTTTCCTCAAAAAATTATAAAATAGAACTACCATATAATCTAGCAATTGCACTTCTCGGTATACATCAGAAGGAAATGAAATCACTATCCTGAAGAGTTATCCGCACTCCCATGTTCATTGCAGCGTTATTTACAATAGCCAAGACATAGAAATAACCCTAAGTGTCCATCAACAGATGAAGGGATAAAGAAGTTGTAGTATGTACACAACGGGATATTATTATCATATCAGCTCTAAAAAAGAAGGAAATCCTGCCATTTGTGACATGGATGGACCTTGAGGGCATTATGCTAAGTGAGATAAGTCAGAGAAAGACAAATACTGTATGATCTTACTTACATGTGGAATCTAAAAAGACCCCGAACTCTTAGATTCAGAGAACAGATTGGTGGTTGCCAGAAGGAGGGAGTGGCTGAGATAGGTGAAGGTGGTCAACAGGTTCAAATTTGTTATAAGATAAATAAGTCCTGGGATGTCATGCACAGCATGGGGACTATAGTTAACAATACTGCATTGTATATTTGAAAATTGCTAAGAGAATCAATCTTAAAAGTTCTCACATCACAAGAAAAAAAAAGTAATTATGTGAGGTAATGAATGTTAACTAGGTTTATTGTGATCATTCCACAATATATACATGTATCACATCATTATGTCATACACCTGACATGAATACAATGTTGTATGTCAACTGTACCTCAATTAAAAAAACCCATCTTACAAATGTAGGGATCCGAAGGGGTACGTGCACCCCAATGTTTATAGCAGCAATGTCCACAATAGCCAAACTGTGGAAAGAGCCAAGATGTCCATCGACAGATGAATGGATAAAGAAGACGTGGTATATACACACAATGGAATATTATGCAGCCATCAAAAGGAGTGAGATCTTGCCATTTGCAACGACGTGGATGGAACTGGAGGGTGTTATGCTGAGTGAAATAAGTCAATCAGAGAAAGACATGTATCATATGACCTCACTGATATGAGGAATTCTTAATCTCAGGAAACAAACTGAGGGTTGCTGGAGTGGTGGGGGGGTGGGAGGGATGGGGTGGCTGGGTGATAGACATTGGGGAGGGTATGTGCTATGGTGAGCGCTGTGAATTGTGCAAGACTGTTGAATCACAGATCTGTACCTCTGAAGCAAATGATACATTATATGTTAAAAAAAGAAAAAGAAGAAGAAAGCAGGATGGGAAGAATGAAGGGGAGTAAGTCGGAGGGGGAGACGAACCATGAGAGACGATGGACTCTGAAAAACAAACTGAGGGTTCTAGAGGGGAGGGGGGTGGGGGGATGGGTTAGCCTGGTGATGGGTATTAAAGAGGGCACGTTCTGCATGGAGCACTGGGTGTTATGCACAAACAATGAATCATGGAACACTACATCCAAAACTAACGATGTAATGTATGGTGATTAACATAACAATAAAAAATTAAAGAAAAAAACCCCCATCTTTTTAAAATTATCATTAGTGAGGATGAACATTTTTCAGGTGATTAGCCATTAGTAAATGAAATGTTTACATCCTTTGTGCATTCAGGTGTTAGAGCCCTGGGTTTTTGTGCTTTTTTTTTTCTTTTTTTAATGGCTTTGTAGATACATTTTACATACTGAGGATATTAATTTTTTTTCTATGGAAGTTGTAC